ACAGCCACATGTGGCCTTGAGGCCACAAGTTCCCCACCCTTGATTATTTCTTACGTTTTAAGTCTTTAATAGCTTCTGGAGGAAAGAAGATATTAAGGTGGATAAGTATATTATTTATCCTCAGACACCTCTGGGCTAGTTGAGGACATATAGGGAAAAAATTAAAATAGAATAATTGCTATAATAAATATAAATATAACCATATAAAGGACTATGTGAGAAATGAAGAGAAAGGAACAAACTCTGCCTGAATAAGGTGAGAAAGCCTTCAGAGACCAGGTAGTATTTAGGAGTTTTTCACATAGAGAACATACCAGGCACCAGGCAGAGGAGACATGTTAGGCACACATGGTACAAGGGAATTCAAGTTGTCTGTATCTTTATAACCTTGACTACGCAGAGATGAAGACAACTCCTTGCCTAAAGTCAAGTGCAAAGTCCAAGAGTAGTCCTCAAACAGAATAAAGAGGAAGGGGGACAAATTTTTATGAAGTGACCACTATGTATCAGGTGCTATGCTAGGCACTAGTGTATAGAACAACTGAAGTCATAATTAAGGCTACTATTAATAACTGTCCCTGCTCTTCTCAGTTCTTACTCTTAAGGAATAGTCTGTTTACCTTGACTCAAAGAGACCAGCCATCTTCATCAGTCCAAAGATGAATGATTAACTGCTTAGGTATCTATTACTCCTCTTCTCTGAACAATCTTTGATTCCCAGAGAAGGCTGAACTGCCTAGGCATCCAGATTAAACACTGTGGCAGTAAGTTCAGGCATAGGCTTATTCAGAGAATGTGTATTTGGGGAGGAATTCAAGTGTTATTCAATAAGGCAGATGCATCCTTTTCTGAGTAAGAACCACTAGGCTTTTTCAAAGATCCACATTTGTATACTAAACATGGGGAAACCTATAGAACTGCTTATTGATTACTTTTTTTTCCTCCATCAGGTATGAAGACGATAAAAAAGAATGGGCCGGGATGTTGAAGGAAATACGCTATGCTTCAGGAGCTAGTTGCCTAGCAACACGTTTAAATCTCTTCAAACTGTCTAAACTGTAAACAAGGTGACAAAACATAATAGATTGGGAGGCAGTTTGTTTGGTTAATAGGGCTTTAATTCATTCTGTTTTTTAAAAGCTTGTACAGAGATTCATGTAGAAATTATTCAGGAAGTTATTGTCTAAAAGGTGAGCAGTAGGTATCAAAACCTCAAAGTCATTCAACCTTCAATGTAATGATTAGAGCTTAAAAACATTTTCTAATAAGAAATTAAATATCCAGTTGAACAAATTATTTCTTTCGTCTATGTCTTACTCAATGGATTATAAGGAAGGTTCCTAAATTTGAGGTGTTTACTAATCCTTTCATTTGCATTGTTAGGGTAACTTTATGCTCATTTTCTATTACAAATGGAACTGGAGAATGAAATATGTACATCTACATATTTTTAAAAAGTTAGAAATATCAAAAGCCTTTCCTCCTGCTTTAAGATATGACAAGAGTCCTGTGCATTGTATCAAAGATTACCTGCCATAAGACTTTGGAAATGCTTTTTAAGGAGTTTAATAAATGGCTCTCATTTGAAGGGGAAAAGTCTCTAAGTAAAAGTAGTCAAATTCAAATGGCCTTTCTTTTTTCTCCATTCTTTCTGTGACACTGGCATATTATTTGTGATTTCCAAATAAAATTTAAAAAATTTTAAATCTAAAACCAAGTAAATTACAGTGTTCAAGCCATTAGCTACAGCATCTGTGGCAGGGGGGTGGAGGAGCACCCTCAGGAAATGGATGGATTCTTTAAACTGCTGGGGCAGAAGCTGGGGCAGTGGGTAATGTGAAGGAGGATATGTACTCATTGGTTTAAATTTTAGATATATTTTCCATGAAAGGACTACCTATTTGCTAAATTTCTGATAGCCAGAAAGGTGACTATGTTATTGTACTTTCTGGGATGTGAGGCTTCTGTTGCCCAGGCCGGAGTGCAGTGGTGCAACCATAGCTCACTGCAGCCTTGAACTCCTGGGCTCAAGCGATCCTCTCACCTCAGCCTCCTAAGTAGCTGGGACTACAGGTGTATGCCACCAAACCTGGCTAATTTTTAATATTTTAAACATGTACTTCAAATAAGCCTAAGCCAAATATTAATGGAGTGAATTACATGTAGGACATGTATTTTAAAGCTGTCCTTATGATTGAAGGTACTCTGGCTACAAACTTATTTGGAACAGAGTGAATTTACATGGTCATGGAGTCAGAAGATAGCCAAGTTTCAGATGGCCATTTACCTCCACCCCTACCAGGTTGCCTGAGGATAGTTCTCAATGGCTTTCTGCTGAGCACAAATGTATCATTTTAGAGAAAGGGTAGAGGATTATATTCACATAGTAGGCCCTTAGTAACTATTTTATTGCATAAATGTGTCATGAGACAGATTAGAAAAATCATTATTCCCTCAGCATGTGTAGGATCAGACCAGGTCAAGGTTGCTCCACTCCCCTATCACCCATTCCTTTGCTTCCATTTAGAAGAAAACTCATGTCTCCTCCTGTTTTCTCTTAAACCCGCATGGTTTCACATTCACTTCACCAAAACAGCTCTTTTCAAGGTACTAATGATTTTCATGTTGCTAAATTTAATGAACACTTTTTCAGTCCTCATCTTACCTGACCTGTCAGCAACTGATATAACTACTCACCTCCTCCTTCAAATGCTTTTGAGAGTTGGCTTATAGGAAGTATTACTACTGCCTTCTCTGACTTTTCTTCCTACTTCGTTGGCCACCCCTGCTCAGTCTCCTTTGCTGGTTCCTCTTCTTCCTCTCATCTCTTGATGTTGGAGTGCCCTGAAACTCAGTTCTCAGAGCTCTTCTCCATTCATACTCTTCTCTAATCACATCTTAAGTGATTTTATCTAGTCTCATGGCATTAAATACTGCTGACAACTTCCAAATTTTTATCTGGAGCCTGGACCTTTTCCCTGACCTCCAAATGCATTCTTAAATTTTCTATTTGATAGCTCCACTTATATGTTTAAAAGATATGACAGACTCAACATGTCTAAAACAAAGTTGTGACCCTCTCCCTATCCAGCCCCTTATCTGGCTCCTCCCATAGACTTCCCTATCTCAGTTAATAGAAATGACATCCTTTTAGTTGCTTAGGACAAAAACTCAGAATTATCCTTGACTCCTGTTTCTTTCATACCTCATATCTAATCAGTGAGTAAATTTTATTGCCTTCACCTTCAAAATATATCCAAAAATCTCACCATTTCTCATTACCACCACTGCCACTATTCTCTCCAAGCCTCTACCCATTTCTTGTCTGGATTACTGCAATAACTTTGTCATGGGTTTCCCTGCTTACACATGTGCTACACTGCAATCTTTCCTCATCTCAACAAGGTAGCCGAAGTGATGCAATTAAAATGGAAGTTCTTACCATTCCTTGCTTGAAACCCTCCAATGGTTTCTCTTCTCACTCCGAGTAGCCATGAGGTGATATATATTTGTCTCTGTTATCTCTCATCTTTTCTCTTATTTTACTTCCACCCCCCTAACAACTTATTCTGCTCCAGGCACACTGGATCCCTTGTCATTCTCAAACACACAAGGCATATTCCTATCTTATGATATTTGTACCTAATATTTTTTAATTGAGTCAGGCCATTTAATTGAAACAAGTTCAAATATGACACTTCATGATAACTCATTTTAAATAAAGACTACAATCATGATTTGCCTTTTCTAAATATACGTTCTCTTAGGTAGTCCATCCGAGCATCCTTTGTTGACAGAGCCATAGAGTTCCATTCAAAATGAGGGATCTGTAAAATAAGTAATGCAGTTTGAATGGAAGTTTTAAAGCAACAACAAAAGACATGGCAGAAGATGTATAAGCACTATTGAGCAAAGCTGTAGGAATCCTATGAAATTAGTTTACATAAGCATAGCCTGTGAATCTTTTTTGGAAGCCGAGTGGATCCTTCTTCCCAACACTGCCTGGAAAACTTTTTTCTGCCTCACAGCTTCTTTCATCCTCCTATTCCTACAATACCAACAATGGAAATTTTTTTCCTACATACCCTTTTACATTCATACACTAGTCTTTCTCTCTGATAACTCTATCCACCTCCATACTGCCTCTCTCCTTTTTAAGATAAATATACAAACAACATATCTTCTAAAGACAATAAAAGAAATGATAATTTGTATTTCTTATTCTACAAAAAAAGATATTTTGTTTCAGGGATACTTTAATGTAACTCTTTTAAATATAAAAAAAGGTAATTCTAGAACTTTCATATTAAAAGGAAATATATGTATAGCCAGTATCTCTGGGCTTTTTTGGAGGCTGAATTACATGAGTATTTCATACCTGAATTACATGATAGCCCAAAATTTCCAAATGTCGTTTTTTCATAGAAGATTTTCCTTTTATGTGAGGGATGTTTTTACAAAAAGCTTTTGAATCCAAAAATTCCAAAGCAATCCTACATGAGATAAAAATAAACATTTACTTCCAAAATCAAAATGAGAGACAGTACTCCAAGCCTTTCAGGAACAAGACTGGATCTTCATAAACTAACAAGCCAAATGAATATGAATGAGTATAACCAGTTATTTTTCCACTTAAGAAATTAGTAACTGATGATAAATCTCTTCATTTACACAAAAATTATGGTAAATATCTGGCTGCTTTCATCCATTTGTTTGTCTAATATATATTTGTTACACACCTACTCTATGTAAGGTGCACCGTGAGGGATACAAGGATAAAATAACACAGCTTATATTGAGCAGAGAACATAAGCTGTACAGTAAGTCACTGCAGTGCGGTATAGGAAGTGGCTAAGTACTATGAGAAAAGTAGAGAGGTATGGGAGCACAAAAGAAGATACTATTTTACTTCCGGTTGAGGACAATTAGGTTAGCACTTTAGTTAGGGAGATTACTAGGCTTTGGACAAGAGAAGAAAGGACATTAAGGCATAAAGGACAGGAAAAGCGAAAGTAAAGAGGTAGAACGCATGAGATGTATGAGGAACAAATTCTGCTACATTCGATCCTTCATAACTAAGTTCATTACATTATGCCAAATTTAATATTCAGATAAAATCTAGAACTAAGACACAAATACCTTTCAGCTCCTGGTGGCAGCCTTGATCCAACTATTTGAATATTTGATTTCCAGTGCCTTTCTGGTAGTTGTCCCAAAGTTATATTATGGTTTCCAT